GGGGGTGCGTCATGAGTCTAGGGGGGGATGGGCACCCCTGAGCTAGGCATATTATTATCTTACCACTGTTTGTAACTTAGGTCTCATGTAAGACCTGGACCTGGGTTCGATTTACCTTTTTGTTTTGACGTCTTCAGAAGTCAAAACTACTAAGTTATCTGTTTGAATTCATATAAGTTACCCTAGACCTAGGCCATATTTAATTTAAGCTACCGGTATGTAAGTTTATACACAAGTTAACTTATGTGTGAGGCTACCTCCAAGCAGTGACGAAAATCAACCCCACACGGGTGTAAAAAGAGAAGTGGGTATAACAAGGCATGGTTCAGTTCCTGGATAGAGGCGCAACTTTATAGTTCAGGGCAGGCTGCCGTAGACACAGTTTCCACTTTTTAAAGCTCCGATTTCTACGAAACACTACTCCGTTAATAATGGACGGATTTTTACAAACGATGTGTCAAAATTAAGATTTTTTTTAGACCTTTTACCAATTCCTGTAATAAAAGTCCTCGACCTTTGCCCCAAAGGCCATCAAAATCCCAATGCATTTCTTATGATGAAAATTTACTAAAACCCAGCTGTTTAATAAATCTTAATTCAGTATTGGAATTTGTCAAGGGTCAAAATATTTTGTGTCATAACTGAAATGAAATGAAATGTCTTTATTGCTTTTAACATCATATAACATGCATTGCAATCGTCAAAATACTTAGATTATAAAATAAGCAGCATATCATACAGTGCAAACCATGCAAAACTCAATAACTAGGGTACCGGTACTGTATTTAAATTTTATCATATTTGCTTATTGTTCTATTTTTGTTCAACAGATTGTGAATTAAATAAAATGTAAAAAAAAATAGTACATGTTAGTAGATTATAAACAAACAACAAATAGTTTAGTAAAAATAAAAAAAGTAAGTATTGGGTTAGATACAAACAAATATCAGAATTTAATAATATTTTCTGTGGTTGAATAAAATTCCACGAGCAGCAAGAGTAAGTTTTGAAAACCATATAAGACAAAAATTAGTAGGCCTACGTGACCTTCATTGACTTAGACAAAATTATGGGACTAATGATGAACACCGCATTGGACTAACTATCAGAGATCTAGAATTTAATTCTTTTGGACCCATGTGATGCATTATTTCAACGCTGAAAAAAAAACAGAAGGGGTAGGCCTACACTGCATGTTTTCACAGCGGAAAAGTGAGACTGCCTAATTGGAACGTGTAAATAATTATCTTAAACAACTTTTTACAAATAATGACACCAAGTTTATGCATTTTAAAACCCATGGTAGAAACTACAATAGTGCATTAGCTACATGGTAAGTTTGTGCGCTAAAATAAAAAATGACGAAGGCGGGCCTACATATCATACATTTTTTATACATTTTCACTGTGTACGGTCAAGTTCAGCATTGTTTAGGAATTAGTAAAGATCTAAACCAGCATGTCACAAGTCACTACGTCCTTTTTTATTTCTACTACAGAGCAGGTAAAAGACCTATCGTTTAATCTAGTATCAGTGTTCCTAACAAAACCAGTGTTTTCACATGGTCAGCTTTATGTTGCTCTAAGCCGACCTAAGTCTTTCAATGTAGTCAAGATCGTCGTTACTAACAATAAGGAGCATAAGGTACTTACTGCTCAATGGAGATTTCACTACGATGAATGTAGGTTAATAGGTATGATGAAATTCTGTAACATATTAAATAAATAAAGATATTTTCCTATTGTGGTGTTATTCATCATATTATTATAAAAATTGGTTTTAAATTGTTTTAAGTGATGACGGTAGATTGTTTTACTTATAATTTTTTTTTTTACTACCAACAATTCATTTTTTAAAGTTTTGATTAGTTTGGGTAGGGGCTTCCTTCAAAGTTGGATTTTCTCCTATAGGCTAAGGTTAACATGGGGGTATATGCCTAATTTGTTTTGAAATCACGTCTGTTTTGTTTTGATTCAATGATTGAAGTGTAATTGTTTCTTAGGTTAAAAAACCAAAGATCAAATTAAAAATGTTGTGGAGGTATTCACCAATAATATAGTAGATAGAGAGTTAATATGGTCCAGACTGCTTTCTTTACAGTGTTTGCAAAATAAAATTATAATTATACTTATACTTTTATACTTTTTATACGGTTATACTTTTTTGTATAAATTTGGTGGCTTTTTGTTTGTTTATGAATTTGAACTACTTAACACGTTCAGTGCTAATAATTAAGAGTAGCCTATTGCGACACTAAAATGCAAAAATATTATAATGTGATTACTAACTTAAAATGATTTCAGCGTATCAAAAATGATAAATTCCCGTCCTTAGGTACTGATGCAGGCCATTTCTAACCCCTTACTTTTTTCAGCCCCACGCGCACACAGTCACCCTGGAAATAGTGTTTTTATATTCAACAGTTACTATAACATCAATATTTGTATACAAAATATATTTACAACCCCCCTACCACCATTTCATATAGTCTTTTAGTGTTCAGAAATTTGAATTACAAAATGTTTTAAAAATTTTGTTTAATATTTATGAAATGTATTTTGCATGGAAATAATAAAAACTTCAACTAAATCATTAATTTTACAAAAGAGTACTAAGCCTAACACCCCACACAATGTAGTTGACACAAACACGAAGCACAAAAAAAATCTTAATAGCCAACACGGAAACGAATCACGCCAAAAGTTGAAGCGACACTTGTACAAAACGCGGCAATCAAGCACATTTTCCCCATGCGAGGCTAAGCTCACATTGAATCAAGGTTGTTGGCATTGGAGAAGGACGACATTTCCCGCCCCGCGCCAGTGGGGCCGGTACCACGGGTCGAGAATTCCCGCCCCTAGCACTGAACGTGTTTGGATTAGGCGGTATAGTACATCTTCCCTAGCGAAGCACGGGAACAGCAGTTGTATATTAAAATAACAGAAAATATGTTAATAAAGTAGTTATTGTTTTCCAACTGAAAATGATAATAAGCACAGGCCTTCTCTGATAGGTAAGATACACTGATGTCTTATCCCACTGTTTCCATACAAAATTAAAATTACATTTTCCTTTCCAGATTTTGAATGGTCATGAACGGCATTGTCAGCTCCATGCTGAGTAAGTGTATTATTCCATTCATAATAAACAAAATTGTCCAAATTATGGGCCAAAATAATATAGGCCTAGTAATTATTTAAACTCTTATTCTATAGGATTCATTATTTTTTTATTGGCTAAACAAGCTTTATTCTTTTTAGTCATTTTGTTAGCAAATTTCACATGTAGGGAATAATCAATTATCACAGGTTTGATGGTAAGACCTGAACCATGGTTAAAATAGGTTCTGGCGCACACCGCTTGGAGCACCGTGTAGTTATGTAGCGTGTACGCCGTAACTACATGGCACTCCCAGTGATGTGCACCAGAACCTATGTTAAACGTAGCACAGCTGACAGTCTATATTTGATTATTTTTGTCTATGCCTGAACCCAGGACCAGAAAATGGAATCTTATTGGGTTAACCAAAATTGTCATAGTTGATGTGAGCTACCAACAGGTTGTGCTGATCTAAATTACTAATTTTTGATGAATACAAAATCTGTTTTACCAATTCAAACTTATTGAATGACTTTTTGTGAGCTATAGCAACTGTTATGACCCATCACCTTGGCCAGCAACATAAAATAAGGTAGAAAATAGAGTTTTAGTCACTAGCGCATTCTGTGACTGGTCAACACAACTACATTTGTTTGACAAAAAATTGGCTGCAGCTGGTCCAAATAGGTGGGAAGTCTACTTCAGTATCCAATAGTCAATGGCAAAACTTTAATAAGTAGGCATTTAAATCATTAACACGTTCAGTGCTAGGGGCGGGAATTCTCTCCCCACGGTACCGGCCCCACTGACGTGGGGCGGGAAATGTTGTCCTTCTCCAATACCAACAACCTTGCTTTAATGTGAGCTGAGCCATTGCTGGGGAACGTTATAATTGTTGCCAGCCTGTAGCTTAGAATATAAGCTTTAGTCTGGTGTAGGTTGGTGCTCAAATTTCCCATAAAATCTTGTCTGGCAATGCTTTTGTCCCGGTTCCGGCAATTTTATCTTTTCGAGCCACTTTACAAAGACACTGGCTACAGATCCGGGCAGTGCTGCTACCTTTGGCTCTTTCAGTGAACTACGTCCACTCTCGGGCTAACGCAGCACCGCTGCTCTTTTTTTATTCGTCAGACTGAAATATTTGAATGCCAATTGCTTTCACCGATTCAGTTGCGCGGCGGGGCTTCGCCCGGGTCTTGCCGCCATTGGCGAGCGCCTGTTTGAAGGTATGCCGCACTGAACGTGTTAAGCTGGTTTCTACCAGTTTACCAGTTATGAATAACTTTTTGTTCACTTTTTTGTTTTGAGTTCTCCAGAGGCCGTAAACACAATCCGTTTGATTAAAAAAAAAAAAACTCCCCCAACACATTTACCATATTTATGATTCAAATGCCTACTTTTTAAAGTTTTTGACCCAATAAGAACCATTTTCTGTGATCCTAAATTACATACCCAGTAAATGGCATTGTGATCCTTTTTTAGTATTTTTTTTTCATTTGACAGTTAGTTAGGTTGAATATAGGGTATCTAGGCCTAATAGTACTGTATTATAACACATTATTAAATTTGAAATTTCTAACAAATAGGTAGGCCTTTATTTTCAAACACTTAAACAAACTAAACTTTGAGGTTAATTTCCTCTAGACCCATTATTCGATAGTGAATTCTGTAAAAAAATCCTTAATCAAGTCTACCTAAGGTGGATAAAATGAGGATTAAGCCAAATCCTGATTTAACATACCAATTTCTAACCAACAAGTCTGTGTTCACAGACAATAACTTAAAAATTAATGTGAATTCTTTTAAAATTACTACCCAGAATGTAGTGAGATTGATTTGTAATATAAATATGCCTACCTAAAGATGAGTTTGCTTGGTTAATAAGTGTATTGTTATTTTAGATGACAGAGAGTGAAAAGAAGCAGTTATCTGAAGTGTATCGTCTCCTCTTAAGGTTACATCGTTCAACGAAGAGGCTATTACACTACCTGCAGCACGATTCATCAGTGTACCTCAAAAAGCCAAACTCCAAACTCCATCGTCGTTTACAAGCAGGTAGGCCTACGTCCAATGTGTCTGTATCTTGGTGGTGGGAGATTTCTGTATGTTGTTATTAAGAAAGTTTTCTTAATATCCTAAAAACTACAGTATTGATTGTAGTTATTTGCAAAAGTGTGGTCCAATCTGACTTTGTATGGTAAGTCTAAAACAAAATTTACTTTTCCACGTAGATTCATAGAGATTATTCTTCAATCACCTAGAAAAAACAACTTGTTTTTGTAGACTTTGACAAGCCTATTATTACAAATAATTGAAGGATGACGACATTTTGGAATCCGGAACAATTTTACTGTTCCTAGAGTTCTCGGGATGCCTGAGCAATTGATAGAAAAATCAACACTAATTCTAGTCCGTCATTACGTTCCATGTAGCTAGTAGTGACTGCATACTACTAAACAACATGCTACACAACAAAACTGGGTTGTTCATAATAATATATTCCTGACATAGCTGTATAACAATTTTATTAATTGCTGACAATTGCTGTTCAGATGAAGCAAAGTCCGGATTAGCTTAATGAGAGTTTTCTATGTTTCTATGTCTTGAAACCACGAGCGCACAGGTAGATTCTTAATTCAGCATTTAAATCTTTCTCCCTACAATTTATAACTTGTAAATGAACTTTTTCCTGTCAATAAAACAATCTAGTAGGCATACTCAATGTTTTTGCCCCAAGCTATTATTTTTTTGTGGTTAAGGAAAATAAATTCATAACCATACAATGTTACAACCGCATGTACAAAAATCCAAATAAGTACTGTATATATGTTTTGATATCAGGCCTACAAGCCAAATGTAGACTGTAGGCTTGAATAAACAGTCTTCTAATGTTTCTCTAAACTCAGAATGTTAAACATGGCCACTTTATTAACTGATGCACTCTTGTGCCAACATCAAGAAGAAGATAAGTAAGTGTAAGTAAATCTCTCGGTTGTATGTTTGTTAACTGCACTTAAAGCACTAACTGCTATGTTGTGTCCTTGGGTGTCCTTGTGTATTGGGTTGTGCATCCTTATTTTTCAGTTTTATTTTCTTTTTTAATTTATTCTATTTTGTGTCTATGCTATTAGCATTTTTACATTTATGTTAGGGAACGGTCCAAACCCTAGTCTTGATACTCTCTTACGTCACAAATAATACCACAATGATAAAGGGCATCAGGGTCCAGAAATGATCTCACTTGGAATTGAATCAGTGACCTTCAGATTTGAGGGAGAGCCTTATAACCACTCAACTACAGTAGTCGCAGCTAGTCTGGGCGTGCGGCCGTGCTCGTGGGCGGGGTAGAGGGGAGTGTTTATTGCTCATTTCCAAAAACATCTGATCCAGGCCCACACGGCTCTCTGGGGTTGTTCAGCGCCTCAGCGCTGTCTTCATGGCTTTGGGGCGGGGGGCAGTTAGTACACAAGGCAAGGGTCCTATGAGGTCCTACACTCAGACCAATGAGGTTTTATTTTAGGCAATTGTTGACAAGTTTAAACCAGAGTATTTCCCAATTTTAAAAACCAAAATAAAGTTACTAAACTTAAGATTTAATCATATTGAAAGTAAACCCATCAGCCTACATTCAATTCCTCTGAGCATTAGTTAGCAAAAATGGTTTTTAAGCATTAGTTATTGATCAATAAAAAAAGTAAATACTTAAAATCATGACTTTATTATCAAATATAAATTGTTACTGCTTTTGACAAACCATTGAAATGCTACTATCATTACCTCCAATAAATGTGTATCAATTACTATCATTAACCAATACTAATATTTTGTGCGTAAGTGAATTTGCATTTAGAAGTATTTAACTCTCTGCCCAGATAATCTGGCGAAGCTGACATGTAATGTACTAAAAATGATGTAGGTAATGTAATGTTGTTTTATAGATGTAATGTAAATATTCAAAAAAAACTATTTTCAAGGCCATAAGTATATTAAATGATCAGAAATTCAAATTATTATTTTCAATGTTTAGATCCAAATGACTAAATTAAAATGACCAAAGTGACTTGAAACAATGTTGATGAATGTAACAGTTAATGAGTTAAAATACCCAAACATGTGATGTTGTCAAATACCCATTAGCCTATTTGAGATTCGATTTGTGTAACAATAATAATGTGTAATTTCACCTATTATTTATTGAATACAGTAAAATCAATTTGATTGTCATTTTTACATTTTTATGTTGTTGTTAACATAAACAATATGAAAGTAAAACTTTCAGAATAATCCATCGAAGTAATGAATTATAATATGGAAGTATTATTTAAAGATATTTTTGACAATGCGAAGATTGAAAGTTCAAGTCACGAATTTGATGAATTTGGTAAATAAGTTGTATTTTTTAAGGATTAGTTTAGTTTATTTAGTTGAATGTCATTATATATTTTGATATTCTGTTTACTTTGCTCACTGACCTTTTTGTAAATCACTTTTATGATAATGGTCATAAATAACAACTTGTTCTATTTTTTGAACTTACTTGCTGTTTATTGAATTGTGCATAAATGAGCATGCCACTATGGACATACAAATAGGCTGAGCTATGTCCTTTGATAGATATGTAATATTGAACATCTTAATTGTACCTACTTCCTTGGAACGAAGTGGGAAAATCACATTCTATTTAGGCTATTGTAAAAACTGTCCACCTAACTTCTCCAACTTCATCTTTGTAATAGAAAGACTCAAATGGATTTTGCAACTGTTACTTTTAACTAAAGAATTGGTGTAAATGCCTGCATTGATCACATAATGCAGGTATTTATACCAATTCTTTAGTATTTAAATGCGATCAGGAGGCTACAATTTAATATAATTAAGTTATTTTTAACCATAGTTTTTTTGTCGCTTTATGAACCATCAGCCAGTCATATATCTCCAACAGGAGTTTTAAAATCTGGAATGCCCATAAAAACACCAATCATTGTGGTTCTCTATATCAATTATCAACAAAATATAACATAATCAAAATATTTAGCATGGACCAAACAATATATAGTACTAACCCAATTGAAAGCTGCCATATACATGAGCTTGTTTTTAAACCTTGGCATGTGGGTAGAGTTCTGACATAGTGTGTAAGAATTCCAGTATAAAGAAGTATAAGCTTAGCAGTGCTATAGTTACAGTAGCACTAAGGTGTATATACTTTGCAGTACCACGTCACTTTTTTGCATTCTACTTTGTTGTAATGTAAAGCAGAAGCGTAACTTTTATTTTCAAATTGTAGTTTGCTAAATGTTTAATGAAAAATTAACTGAATTATACTTAACTTAGGGGGTAAATCTAGAATGACAGAATCCAATGCAAAATTAGCTGACTTTGTATTTAATTGTGACTGAATTAATGTAGATTTCTAAATTTAAAATGTAGCTTCTTGAATTATCAATTATCAATTATCAATTATTTAAGATGGGGACGCCACTGTGTGCGTATTTTAACCCAAATATGAGTGAAGGATGAGTGTAGGATGAGTGGCGTGATCTTGTAGTCTTGTTAGTGACTAAGGCCGACATGTTCCTTAGACACAGCTGTTAATTAATAGCCCATACAGCTAATGGCAACTAAGGGACCTACAGTTTATAGTGGAATCCGAACCACATTTTTTCCTTGTAATTTACGAATTGGTCTAATTATCAGGATAGCACTGCGGATAGTCTTAGTACTCACTAGTGCGGACGTTAATCCACACCAGGGAGCATCGCATCCAGAGTGCATCCCTATAAATATCCACAATTCGTGACCTCCTAGTAGCTGGATTACAGGACGACGCCACCCGTCCCAGAATGATTTTTTAAAGCCAGTTTTGACTGAGTTTAGAAGATGCAAATTCTTTAATGGCACTAAAATTAGGCAACACAAAAACAATTCCTTATGGCCTGTTAATAAATATAATATCCAAATGTAGTGTAATTTTGTAACCATCTCAAATAATACTTCACATTTAGGCCTATAATTTCTAGAGAAATTGGTGATGATTAACCACTGTCTGTGTACTGACTGTAAGTATGTTTTATTGATTATTTTGCACACTTCTATTTTATTGTTTTTATATTCTGTGTTTTGATGTAGGTAAACCATTAAAGAAGCGGCGACCCAGGCCTAAGTGCAAGGCGCTGTCAGCCGAAAATCCGTCACCAAAACCCCAGCACTCTCCTCTGAAACTTACGTTCAAAACGCTACCAACCTGCCGTGAGCCGGTCTTCGAGGTAATGTGTAACTGTTTAGCTGTCTATGAGCAATATTGGTGGCTATGTTGCCTGTTTAGTGTTATGATTATTGCATGATTTGTGTATGTTGTAAGCTCATAATCCCTTCATAGAACCTGATTTACTTCGTTTTCCTTCATATATAGGCTACATTTAGTTTTTGGGTTCTTAATAACTGCCAAGTAGAATGCATTGCAAGCCGATCAATTTGTGAATTGTGGACTGTTATGATCCTTATAATGTTTGTATAAGGTAATGAACATTTATTTTGGTATTCCTTCATTGTGGTTGTTACATTTTAAAATCATTGGACTACTTAAAGCTAAATACAAGCTACAATACATTGAGATAATCTTAAAAATTGTTACATAAAAAAATTTAAGGCTCTTATTTATTAATAATGCTGTAATGTAAAATACTTTTAAAATATGTACCTTTACAGGAGGTGTAAACATGCAAATAGGACAGTATTCACCGTCTCACCACCCTGGTTGAAATTCAATATTTACTTTCCTGATATTTTGCTATCCATCCTAATATTTTTTAGTTAATGTAAAATAAACACACCGCTACCATTTACTTATCAAACAACTTTTACCTTACCCTTATCTAGGCAAATGAAAAAAAACACGGCTTATTCAGTTATTTATTTAATTATTTTGTAAAGCTTATGTTTTCAAGCAATTGATCATAATAATTAACTTTTTATTTTAGTCAAACTTTTCGGTTTCTATTGAAAAATCAAATAGATTGACTAACAGGTGAAACCCAAATTTCTAGGTTGTGGAAAAGAAGGAGAGGGTGACATCATTTGCTGCCATGGATGAGATGATACCTGATGGGAGGGGGGTTTTACCCTCCCAGACACAAACAACATGCCCAACACCAATTGATATCCTCAGGGAGGAAGGTAGGCCGACCAAGGCATCAATAGATATATTAGTTTAGAGCGAATCCCCAATTTAAATTTTGAAATATTACTTATTATGTTCATAGTGGTCTACCATCAGCAACAAATTGTACGAATTGGAAGCTCCGCCTATATAAAAGAAAATATAAATTTAGATGCATGCTTTGTAATTTTTACAATTATGTTGTCTGGTTTTCTTGTAACAGCAAAAACAATCATAGTGAAGCTGCCAAAAATTTAACGGGGATTAAGTTTAGTAAACTTGTTACTAATGTTATTATTATTCTTCATCCTTGCCATATGTGTTTATTTATCATCTAGTGCACACATTGTAAAAGTTGTAAAGCCTGGCAAGAAATATAAATATTTAATATTAAATATTAATATATATTAAATATTATTTAATATTTAATTTAATTTTAATTTACAACTGATATTTTTGAAATCTCCAAGTGTTAACAATAAAATCATGATAATTGCCCTTGATCATTTTAACATCTAGAACGTTATGATTATCTCCTGCAATAACATTGACATCTAAAATTATTTATTTTGCATTCTTTGCAGATGTATTTTGCCATTGTGATCCCATGTCAAAAATTCACCCTTGAAAAGCTTGGATTGGTTTTATTCTTAGACTTAAAGCTCAATTACTCGAGATTTTAGGTTAGAATTAGCTCGGTTCAAAACTCAAACCAGTTGCACAGCTCTAAAAATGTTAGCATATTCCAATTAAATAAATAATTGTAAAGTGCCAATTCCTGGTCGGAAACAAAGTGTTTGAACCATTTGACATCAGGTCAGATCTTGTACTGGTTAATGATGCTGAAGGAGTGATTATCCAAGTAGATACTTACTTACTTGATACTTGATAATTTGATACTTGAAGTAAGCCCGTTGGAAGTGCATTCGCATCACGGTTGTCATAGTTTTGGGTTGATTCTTGTCAATTTCCATATATTACAAGGTTTGTCAATCAAAAAGCTTCTGCTGTTTACATTGTCGATTTCTTCTACCGGTATAAATGGTTGTTTATTGTAATTTTGTTTTTATTGTGAGCTTTTAAAAAGAGTTGTTCAAAGGTTTAGGTCATATACTGTGTTTATTTTCTTTTTATTTGTTAAACCAAATGTTACTTTTTTTAAATGAAGAAAACCACTTAACATCTTGAGTTTCTTCCCTAGCATAATCTTTTTAAGCGTTTTATACTTGAAAAAATTTACAGAGGAATTTTATTTTTAAAATCCTCCACCTAAATTTTTTTGATCTTCCCAATCCTTATATTTGAACAAAGTAGCCCATTTTAAAATATATTTTTCCTAAATTTTCAAATCACATAAATTACAGTTAATTGTTTTTAAATGGAACTAAATCTTAAATTGTTTTGGTTTTAAATACTTCAATTATAATATTCAGAGAAATTTGTCTTATTTACCTAATGTAAATTTGTAACTAATACCTTGAACAAAAATTTATTTAGTAAATGGATCTTCAATTCCTTTTGGTTAATGCAGATTCTCATAGAAGTACTTGGGAAAGCTTAGCGATCACATTTGGCGTGTTAATTAAACAAATACAATGCATTTTGAGTTAGTCATTAGAAGTTTGGTTTTATGACTTTTTATTTAACAAATTGTTATCAGGCAGTATATATGAAAATTGTTCATTTAGCTAATTTGTTTTGTTTTAATCTGTAGATGTTTGTAGATTTTTCAAAAGGATTCAAGTTTGGATAGTTTTATTCCCTGACAACATCTTACTAAAGAAAGCCACTTACTTATGGGTGCATAAAAGTCCATGTTTTAGAGGTTTTGCTTTATTTAATAAATTCTTTTAATTAAAATGTGTAGCAATTGAAAAATAGTAATTGAAGTAGTAATTGAAAACTTTTAAGCAACATTTACAAATTTTGCAAAGAGAATCTCCTCAATGTGGGATATAGAAATATTGAAACATTTTTATCAGTATAAGGAAGTCTTGATAAGTTTTCAACAAGGTAAAATTTAATCGATAAAGTGTGTTATAATTGGTGTGAAAGTATTTTGGTTATAGTGCCTTAGTGACTTGTTTGAGGTAGTATGAAACGAGTTGCTTTTATTTTCTTTGATTGAAATGACAGTTGATTAAAACCTCTCTCAACCTCTAGATAGTAGTGCAGTGATAGAGACGTTCAACAGTTTGGACACAGAGCAGCCCCTCCCCTCACCACCACCTGTTCTGACAGTGAAGAGTCCGGAAGCGCTTAATGTTACCATAACTCCCAACCTGGTCAACAAACTACCTGAACCATGTCAGAGTTACATTATGGAAACTTGCGAGGTATGTTCTATACACATTTATTCTGTAGGTTATAGTTATAGCTGAAGCTAGGTAATTTAGTGGATTTATTTCTCGCCTAATTGTTGTTATATTGTTAATCCCAGAAAAAGCTTAATACTCTTTTTGACAGTTTGAAATGGGTTATTTGTCTATGATCTATGACCTTGATTAATTGGTCAGATGGTGTTGGTAATTAACAAGGTTTACCTGTAAAAATTATTTATTCTTATCTATGCACTATAATTGTCTTTGTCTTGTACAATTATGTAGATATTTTCCCCAACTAACACAAATATTTCCACTCATATTTTTTAATGCAGCTGCTATAGGCTGCTATTTTTTAATGCTCCATCAGTTATAGGTAACAATTAAATGAAGGTGAAAGTAACACAAATACACACTTAAATAAGATAGAAATAGTAGTAACATATTTTCAAAATTTGGTTAACCCTCGAGGAGGCACTTACCAGTAAAACAGGAGAGGGGGTATACGGAGTTTTATTCCGCATCACTAAATATCATAAATTTTACCCATTTTACTTGTTGTTATAACGAAATATTATATGAAAATGTTGAATAACCTAATCAGAAATCTAATTTCTTTAATATTAACATTATTTGTTTAACTTTATACAAGTAGCATTTCAAATAATGATATTGAGCGATTTTCTAATATAAAGGTAGGTATGTTACGAGAGAGGGCCCATGCGGAGTTTTGTTCCGCAATAATGCAATTATACATATACATGCAAACAAAATATATTTGACAATACTTATAAATTAAATAATACATTTAAACGTGTTTATAATTTTATATGTATAAAATATACACAAAGTTTGACAATAGCGCATGAGGAAATAAACTCTGCACTAAGGACTTACGTGATAGGGCGCACGCGAATAACCTCCGCAAACTGACATCGCGTCACTGAATTGCAACTGACAACCAAATGAGGAGGAATTCGGGGGTAAAAATAGCTTTCCGGCGTTCCCAGGATGGGGTGTGTGAAGTGTAGAGCCGGACACGATTGCCGACACCCATTATGCATATTTATATTAACAAAAACTACAAGTGCGGAGGAAAACTCCGCAAGCGCCTGCTCAAGGGTTAAAAACTTGGCAGACAGAATCCGAATGTTTAGATTCTCTGAATAGCCTATAGCATGAGTTATAGTAATATTTGTGGTAGGTGTGTGGAGAGCGAAGTGATAACATTGAACAGCACAGGGCCACAATGGGCCACTACAAGTGTCATGTGCTGCCACAGTGTGCTGGCTTTGTATTTGCCAATAAAGGAGAGCTCATTAGTCATCAACACCTGGTGCACGGACTCAGCCCCACACCTCAGCAACAATCCCTGCAGCAACTCCAGCAACAGTCCCTGCAGCAAATGCAGCAACAGTCCCTGCAGCAAATGCAGCAACAGTCCCTGCTCCAGCAGATGCAACTCCCGCAACAGGTTAGCACTTGTATTTAAATTTTGACTATTTAATCGCAAGAACGATTAAGTGAAGACAAATGAAACGTCATGATTGTGTTTCAGAGTAACCACTTGTCACTGCACTTGTCTTCCCTCACTTGGCATTTTATAGGGGATGTCATTCCCTACAAGAATTAACTTCTTGACAAAGAAGTTTTCTCAAGAAGTTTTATTCTTGTAGGGAATGACATCCACTATCGATTTATAAGTAGGTAGGTAAAGTTGAAACATTACAGTGTACTTTTCTGGATGAATTTTACGTTAAACTATCCACCAAATAAAACTGGCTTAAAAAAATTAAAACAACTATGAACAGCAAGAAAGATGTATTGCAACCCATTAAACCAAGTTGATTGCCATTATTATTTGGATAACGCTGACCATGACCAACTGACACAGCCAAACGTGACTGAGCTGTGGGATGGCTATGAGTTAAAAACTGAAACAGTTTGCCAAAATTTACTATTGAACAAATAACAAGATATTTTTCTTTGTAAAAACCAATTGTTTTTAATTGCAAAGGCACAGGTGCTTGAGTAAAAAAATCTAATAATTATGAATTTTAACAAAAACAAAAAAAATATTTATACACCAATACCAATACAAATCTGTTACATAACTACTGTCTAGCTGCTAATTTTAACATGATTGTTTTCCCAGGTCCAATTATTGACAACGCCTTATGGGATATCCACGGCACCCCCCGCCATGGGTACATCTCCACCAGCCATCAGTCCCTCTCTAGGCCCTCTCTTGTACTTGGTGCCCAGCGGAGTCACTTTGGCATTCCCTGGAGCCTACCCCTCCACTACCAACACACCACAGTTCGCCATGCAGACGCCCCCCTCCACTATACAACCGGACGGTAATTACATCTTGCAATCAATCTGGCCAGTGTTCAGGGTACCCACTCGATGGAAACCCTTGTGTTGTAAACTTCATAGATAATGATGAACTTATTCTGATTTTATAGGTTAGAAGTTAAGGAAAGGCCAATTGGCTGAGGATTATTATGTAGCCACCTTATCTAGTAGATAGAGTCCAGGTTAACTTTTGTAGCACAAATAAAACACACTAAAGTTCCACAACAGTGCTGCAAACTGTGGTTTAAATTGAAATCAAAACCCCTGCTGCTATGTACATCTATAAATACACAAACTCACATATACATTAACCCTCCGAGTGTTAAGCGTTGCGTAATCGACACACACCCGCCGTGGTGTTATGCGTCGCTTAAGCGACACACAAACATCGTTTACGGCGAAGGCTCTGGGACTGACTGAATCAGATTGAACTGGATCGAGATTGGTATCGTTGTTTTCGGCAGATTCTAAGCTTTCTCCTGATGTCTGTTTCTAGACGCTTTTCATTTTAGTTCTGAAAATATTGTAGCAGACAGATGTTGGCGTATTTGTAAACAACTTGGTTAACCTCGCACCGATGACTGATGTGTTTTATTACGTTTATTATTGTTTTAGTGTTAAAAATAAAAAGTAGTGATATACGTGGGCATTGTAAGAAGATTTAAGTGATTTTGAAGGGCTGGTTGATGCTCCTGAAGAAGTATGTAGTGATATTGATGTACATGATCCACAAGATTCCTAGCTATGGTTAGGCTAGGCATTCTTTGCTAACGCTAAATGTACAAAATCAGTTTTTCACCTATAACTTATTTATTTGCAAACCTAATTTCTTAAATTATTGTATTTTTGGAATCCTCATAAAATTTAGAACAAAGTGGCTATTCTGAAATATTTGTAGACCTAAAATTATTATAAATTTATTGAGCGCAAACATAAATTTTTTCATTTATTTTATAATTTTTTTAAAATGTTAACCCCACAAAAATTGTTGAAAACTTTTTTGTAATGTTTTATATATTACATTAAAGCCCATAGTTTTTCAAACAAAATAATATATAAAACAGTATACTTTAGAGTGTTTTTAAGTTTCTAAGATACATTTTAATAAAACCCTGCGATTACGCAATAAATGGGCGGACATTAAGACCTTTACTATGGACACTTGGAGGGTTAAAAGTTCAGTGAAAAAATGTGAAGCTAGCTGAAGGAAGGGGTGGGTGGATTATCTGATTTTAAGGTTAGGAGGGATTCTTGAATCAGCAATGTATTGGTTCGAATAAATGTAGGTTTACACGTTTGTACCAAATTTCATCAAAATAGGATAATTTTTGCTTGAATGATCGTGCTAACAGACACAAATATAAACACATATGAATTTGAACGTATGGTGTTTTTGTCCTCTGGGGACCTCAAAATGAAAAAGTAAATCGGTCCTGGGTCCAGATCTTACCATGAGACCTAGGGTAATAGCTTATTCCTATATGAGAAATTGCTAAAACCACAACGTATAGCTGAAAAAACCCTGCAAATGTGTCAAAACACCCGTCACCACGGCGGCGGCGTGCGCTTGTTTTTCAAGAATTTACCTGGCTTTCTCACCTTTATCAATATCACAAAGATATGTAAATGTGACTGTTAAAATTGTGCAAACTTCATTCAGTAGGGATGGACAGTCTCACAGTATTGAATACTTCATCTAAAGTGTTTTTTATATACTCTAGGTTGAGTAGTGATGCTGAATACAAATTCTAATTTGTCAGCTATGGTTGGCTAGGAGCTCATAAAAGTTTTATCTCCTTGTTTACAACTTCCTTAACTTGGTGATGTGACATGTATTATTGCAACCCAAACCCATTTAATATTTTATCATGGCAATCATAGTTTTATGATGGCTAATCAATTTTCTTATGGTAGTAACTGCCATTAAAACTGTGTAACTAATGTAACTAACTGTAACTAAAAACTATTAACTAATATGTAGTCTTATTCATAACTTAAAATATGTTTGTATTCATATTTTATCTGTCAATCAAAAGCATTTTTGGATGCATAATATTTAAGTGTTGTATTTTATCATTTGAGATTATTTGCTTGTATTACTGTATTCTGTTTTGTTTATTTCAGCTTAACCTAACCAGCAATGGTTTTATTAATACTTATGAATGAGGTCAAATGGGGTGAAGCCCGTGGGTAACAGCTAGTTTTTTTAATAGCTTATTTATTGCCACTGAAAGATGGTGATAATTTTGAGACTGATAAAAAATGACACTCAATTCAAGAATGTATTGAAAGGCAATCTAAGCTAATAAGTGACACTCATTGTAGTCCAAATTTTAACATTACAGTTTTTTTTGTTTTTTTTTTTAGATGTGAGTTAAATTACAACTCCTTTGCTTGAGTTTATGCCTTATGGGACGTTCAAAGAGTTTATACTTACAACCGACAAAATAGACAAAATATTTAATTACATTCACTCTAAAAAATTGAGCTATCAGTGTTTTCAGATTGTACATATATTTGTACATAAGGCTTTTAGCAAAGTTCCCTATAAGGGAAAGTTTTTTTTTATAATCATGGAGATTTTAGTTTTACATCGTGATTGTTTGACAACTACTGTGCAGCTTATCGTGTAAATCATTTTATAAGATTAATATATTATTAATTATTAATTAATTATTATTAAGAATAATATATAAATTTAATATTATGTCTGAAAACTAAATAATGACACATATAGTAGTTAAAAAATACTTAATTGTAATTAACTATGTATCTATTGTTTAGGATTGCCAGTGCCTGTTGCTTCGCCCACTCTACCAGCCGGGCTGGACCGGTCTATCAGTATATCTCCTTCTGTCAAAACAGCACAAAAGCGGGCCACCCCCTCCCGTGCTGAGAGTGAAGCCAGCAAGAGAAGGTGGGTTGGTTACAATCATAGATCTTTATATAATACAACTGGATCAAGTGCTGAGCGTTGGGATTTCGAGCGGGTGGAGTGAGGGCGGCGACCCTGGTCCGCGTCCGTGATGCATTCATAGTAACACAAAATCAACTGAGTGACAAAGCCATAATACTTCTCAAATCAAATCTTTAAACATAAAAATTACGAATACTTTTCTTTACGGCTCGGCATAACCATTTATATGTACGTACTCGTTTTGAAAGGAATGAAAACGTTTGTTTTAATTTTATTCAGATTTTCATGGTCTTTAGAACGAGCTCAAATGTCAGTAGTGGCACTAGGGTATAGTGGTGCGGGTAGCTGCAGTAGGTTATAATATAAAGATCTATGGTTACAGATAAATTGAATCATAATCATCATTGTTTCATTTTTTACATACATTTTATTCAGCTCTTACAAAAATCTTGCTTGGAAATAAGTCAAGGTAAAAAACCTTGTTTTGGAAAACAAACTCGCTGGGTTTAACTAAAACACCCCTTATTCCCAAATTTATTACCTATTGGCAAAACATGCCAATGTCTATTCCTTATCCGTTTAAATATACGGTCTACAAATGATTCCCTAGGTAACACAACCTTTTACTACTCTGTTTTATATTTTACTCTTCACTAATTTTTCAAAGATGACGCCCTACATTTTTCTAAAAAAAAAAATATAAAAAATATAAATTTACTTACTACCTTTTTATTTCACATCCATACTTACACTCTATAATTAATACTGGGCTACTGTAAACTTAGTGAATTTTTCTCTATAACTTAGCCTTAATTTGGGATTTTTGTGACAATAATTTTTACGACAAAAGTTTTACAGAAGTATTTAAACATTTAATATTTTAAACACATTGTTTGTGTTGTAGTCGGCAGGAGAGTCCAGACTGTATGCTGGTTGAGGATGGGTCTGCTCCACCCAAGGTTCCTAAATTGCCCAGTGGCATCTCTCTGACTGTGCGCGGCTCACAGTCACAGAATAGCGGGGTCGCTAACATCCTGGCCTCTCGAGGCATCACGGTCAGTAGGAAACTTGTCATAAAGGAATGTATCCACCACATTAAGGTGGATTCACTATGATGTAAAATTTGCAAAAATTAAAATATCAATGATAATAGATAATCTAATGCAAATACAAATAAAAACTAAGAATGATCCATGTATTCAGCGTTCAGATGAGTTGAGACACTTAACGGATAAGTAGAGAGAAGAGTAAATCGAGAGATTTGAACAAACAAAGCTTAGTTCAACATCTATGATGTTATAGACTATTTATTGTAATAATAAAATATTGATGCTCTAAACAATTTTTCTCAAGGCCCCTGGATTCATACGTAGCAGTTTTTCTATGTCTCTTTCAACTATCCCTTAAACTACTCGTTCAACGATACCTTAAATTGTTTACCCATCTAGATATTTTTTTTCATGATTTATTTGATCAAAGAATTTAGTTTTGAAAATATTTCAATTGTAAGATTCCTAGGTGTTCTTCTATTCCATAATTTTTTTAGGTTTTTAGTTTACTTCTTACTTTTCAACCATTCAAAGATTCTAACAATTAAACTGGGTAATTTAATTTGCTCTGGAGGTTTTATTAAGACTAGGTTGTACACATGATTTTTATTTCTTTTAGGGAAAGTATAAATTATTGTGTTTGTTCAGGTGACTCCGGCAGCCAATGAGACCCCCCCGCCCCCTGCGCCTGCATCTAACAGAGCGAGTGTAACCACTCAGGCTGTCACTACACTAAACCTCAGCTCAGAGGTTTCTATAGTTCCTGCCAGCCAGTCCTCTAGAGTTAGTACATCTCTGCCTTAATGATATAGGCCTAGCTTAAAATTATCATTTTGCCCTTAATGTAATTCTCCGCTGAAGAAGACTAACTCCAACAGTCGTGTGGACATTATCACCATCTCCCACGATCGTGAAAAAAACACTAATACGAGGGCTATCCAGAAAGTAAAGAACGTTTCGTTATGAGATTTTTTTGGCAAAGGAATTATACAAAGTTATACAATTATCATAATCTATGTAGTATGTACGACTCCGTTAAACTATATATGGGCCTACTTAAAATTTTCATGAATTAAGACTCTAAATATATTACCATCCATGTTTTCTGCTACTATCTAAAGACTATTAGGATAAATAACTGCAGGGAATTAAATTACAACTACAATATGTGGTAAATTACTATAGTTAAATAATTATGGACAAAATGTGTTTCAGGGGCAATTCACGGGACCTACTGGCCGTAAGAGGGGTAGACAGGTTACCTCCACTGCAAAACCTTTGATGGTAGACCTAACTCAAGACTCAAGTAGACCTTCATTTCGACGACGGTCGCAGCGCACCAATCTGGCAACTCATAAACTGCCATACAAGTAAGATATACATATAGTTGACTTCGTTTCTATATTAAATTTTTATATTATATTCTAGCACTCTGAAATGTCAATGTCTTCTCGTCAAAAGCTTCAATCATAATTTTATTAATTAAGATGGGTGGCTCACTCCGTAGTACAACAGACTATAAATCTGCGGCAGCGTTGTCGTGAGTTTGCGACCCATGGCCTCAGTGCCTGCCACTAAATTTGAAGATAATAGTTCATTCTTGCACTGTTAACAGCTTTACCTTTGATTGGCTGGATATGTTCCATCATTGACTATGTAGTGTGTAAATAAAGTCCTGCACAAGCTTAAGTGATGTGTCAAAACCGAATCTAAAATCTCAAAACCATCAAAACTTAGGAAAAGTTTCGGTTTTGAGATTCGACCACCAAATTTTGAGATACAAAAGTTTCGAAATTGAAGATTTTGACAGTTTTATTTTTGAAACTTCTGACATTTTTTTGTGCTATTGTAATTGTTTTTAACACTGTTTCCAAACAAGCTGGTAGCAGCAGAGCAAACATCACCATTAACAGGAATGAAACAAGTAAATTTGATTCTTAACTTCAAGGTATCTTAAGAGGCGGTCGGATAGAGACCCGTATCCCATATTCTGCAGGCATCACGAGCAACAACACAGTTCTCCCAAAACAGACTTTTGTAATAGTACCACCCTTGGCCACCAGTTTCGTGGCTGTTGCATAACGGGATCTGAGATTGTTGACAACCCTGTGTTACCTAAAAACTTGAAATGATCAACTCAACTACCCTCAGCCAGTGTCCTTGCCCTTGTCTAATGTCCCACTGCATGTTTCACTTTCACTGCTTGCTACCTTCGCTCACCCACCCTTTGCGTCTCAGCAGGTCTCAGTTCACATATACAGTGGTGTTTGGTAGTCAGTGTCAAATATTTTAAGGCATTATTATGCACGCAAATTGTTTTTAAAATATGCAATTTGGATAGTTATATCTCACTCCTACTTCCGGCAACAGCCATTTTTAGAATTTTCCAAATTTCTTGACATTGCCTAATAAAAGCTCAGATTTCTCAACTTTTAACCTACATAATGATATTTTCAATGGCATTTTTAGAATTTTCATTAAATTTTATATCAAAACACGTATAATATATTACAGCTAAACCCATTTAAAAGTTTTTAAATTTGACTTAAATAACAAATCTTTAAAAATCAATAAAAAGGCCGCTACAACTCGCTTAAGAAAATTGTTTATCATGCTGTGTTAAAAACTGTCAAACAGTATAAAAAACATCTCCACATTTTAAGCTTTAAAATGATATGCAATATGTGACATGTAATGTCAGCCTAAGGGGAAAAATTTGTATTAATCATTAAATTAATCATTCTTCACTAACTGCACTCTGTAATTATGAGAACGCATTTAGTAAAAGTTGTGTGCAAAAGGTATCTGTATAATTAAGTATTTCCCAAGTAAACTTGAAAAATTTAATACTGTAGTATAGTACAGTCAAAACTAGTTGTAGTGCTTTGAATGCCTCGTAAAAGTAGTGAAATTTATAAATACACACTTTAGTTGGAATTACGAAGATACTGATCATATGTAATTAAGAATATTTCTACCAAAAATCATGGATAAGCTGCACCTTAAGAATCTTAAATACAGATTATGTCTGATGCATGTTCTTGATGCATATAGGCCTACTGCACACGTAAATTATTTTACAAGCAATTGATTTAATGGGGCATATATTTATTCGACAAACTTAATCGACAAACCTATCTAGGTTTTTGCAACACACCCTATCTTCAGTCTTTGATCACATAGATTTTGGTCAAACTTAAATAAAAAGTAAAAAAAAAAATAAAGTAGCACTCCTCTTCATTACACTAATGAGGTAAGAAACTTAGTCATATGGATTTTTGTGATGAGACAGACCCTTTGCATGGGCAGCCAGATTCTCTGATCTTATACCTATCTTATTCCTTGTTTGGGCATTCCTTAATGGTGAAGTGTATACTGCGGATGTATACAGTGAAGAGGACTCGAGAAAGCTCTATAATTGACAGTAGTTGTACAAAAGTTGAGAGGAACCCTTTCCTATAAGATTACAGTTGAAGCAATAAAGAAAAGCTAGCTAAAGAACACGCAAAGTCAGGTAGTTTTAACCACATATTTAAAACTCTTAAGGTGCAGCTTTTCTATGTTTCTGTTTGTATTCAATTATATAAAAAATATTACCTTGTATTTCAAAATTTTTTTGTAAAATAACTTAAATTTTTAAAATAATGTTAATTATTTATTATCGTAATTACCTCTGACTTGTGCATTTATAAAATTCTCTATATGAACCTGGTATAAAATAATTCAAAGCCCTTTGACTATGCACTATGGTATTCAATATGTACTAAAATATTAGATTTTATTACTTTACTTGGGTTAAACTTTATTATACAGATACCTTTTGCACTTAACTTTCAATAAATGCGTTCTTGTAATTAATGATTGTAGTTAATGAAATAAATTATTAATTTTATGTTTAAAGCAATATTTCTCCCCTTAGGCTGTAATTAGGCTACATGTCACATATTGCATATCGTTTTAAAGCTTAAAATGTGGAGGGGCTTTTTATACTATTTGACAGTTTTTAACACGACTTGGTAAAAAAATTTCTTAAGTGAGTTGTAGCACCCTTTTTATTGATTTGTCAAAATTTGTTATTTAAGTCAATTTTAAGAACTTTTAAATGGGTTTAGCTGTACCATATTATAGGTGTTTTGATAGAAAATTGTATGAAAATTCTAAAAATGCCCTTGAAAATATCATTATGTAGGTTTAAAGTTGAGAAATATGAGATTTTATTAAGCAATGTCAAGAAATTTAGAAAATTCTAAAAATGGCTGTTGCCGGAAGTAGGAGTGAGATATAACTACCCAAATTGCGTATTTTTATAGCAATTAGGGTACATAATAATGCCCTAAAATATTTGACACTGACTACAAAACACCCTGTATATGTGTCTGTGAACACGATAACTTGAGTCATGTTTGTCCGATTTTGATGAAATTTGGTTTGAAGGTGTAAGGCGGTATAAACTTGAATGAGTTCGGGAACCAGCATGATCAGACCATGGGAACGGGGTTTTTCGGGGTAAAAATTGGTTTTTCTTATTTTTGACCCTCTAAACACAACATTTCCTAATTTCTCTACAGACTTTTCTAAAGAGCTTACAAAAATGAATATTTTGGTAGGCCTATATCAATGTGTTTTTGTACAATTATTGGTTACGGAGAAAATTAAAAAAAAAAAATTTTAATTCCCATGTTATTCTTATGAAGGATATTGTAAAATGCCAATAAGTGCCAAAGGCACTCTTACTAATAAAGTAAATACAGAAAAATGATTTGAACCTTGTTCGGTACTCTAGTTTTCTAGGAGTAGGACGCGTAAAATGACATTTTGGCGTCACAGACGGAATGACAGAATGGACAAACAGACAAACAGACAGACAGAAATTGAGATAAGACTCGTTTCGGATTTCTTAGGCTATGAAACGTAAAAATAACCAAAAACTGCATGATTCTAAGGATTTTGGATGGTTACTTGGGGCTTAGCCCGAATATTAGACCTGAAACGGGACATCGCAATTCCAAGATAATCCATGAGTCAGAAGCCGGCTTGGCAACTACGCAGTGCTGGTCCGGAGGGTGGATTTGGTTCCTGGAAGACCTTAAATCGTATATACCACTTTTTTATGTTCCACTGGACCTTGTTTTCTTACTGGCAAATAGTTTGTATCAAATCGTGTATTGCAGCAGCTATCTTTACACAGCGAAGACCATAATCAACTGTACTAAGTATGACTAAAAGAGACGTTCATTCTAACGGAACTTGTTTTTTTTTTACTGATGAATAGTTTGAATCGAACCAGGTGACCGCAGGTGTTGTAGAACAACTTTTATCTCTGATGTCAGTAATATTTTAATAAATAAATACACAGTCTGAAAATTTGGTCTTAGATTCATCCTGTGAATTAAATATCATCACTTGCTTGGCATTGTAATATATCAGGGATATAACGACATAACGATATTTATTTTAGTGGATCTGTGGCCAGTTTAAATGAATTGTATTTCGCGCAGTTTGAAAACGTGCTCTGCAGTCCACAATCGACTGTGCTGCCATCGGTCAGGACATCATCAAACTAGTACTAAGTCGGAAGGCACGGCTTTTTTGCAAGCTTTTACAAAAATATACAAAACTTAATGTTAACTATCGAAAAAAAATTTTCGTCACACTCAATACACTAATGAATATATGCTCTTTAATATGGCTTTTGAACTAGAATTAATTGTTCATAGTGCCAGTTATTTTATATTATAGCAGAAAGTATTGCAACTCCTTATGGGAAATGTAAGAAATTATTTATTTTATATTCGGCTTGTAATTAAAAATTATGATTTTTATATTGCACAGTCTTAATCCTACATATATTTACTATGTTTTGAGTGTGGGAAATAATTTTTGAAACACGGATAGACCAGAAAACGAGGAATTATTATATGCGCTCCATGTTAAAGTGACGGCCAGTGTTGGCAGCCGAGAATCTCTCTTTCATCACAATAAGGTTCAGTTTCACATCAATATTTACTAAACACAAAGAAATATTTACCACTAAATGTTCTAAACATTCATGTTTATGTTGGTGTTAGAAGTTAAATTAATTTTTTTGTTGGTTGTTTATGAACAGTTATGTTGTATTGGGTTTTAAGATTATCAGTCACATTCACATATTTATGTTATGTCACGTTCAGGGGTTTATCTCTTTCAGTTTTGATTGCATACTTAACATTTTATGATTATGTGTATTTTTTGTAACCTTAACCTAAAAAGTTTCGCGTTTAGGTTAAGTTTCGGTTTCGGTTTTGAGATTTGAAATTTCTGGTTTTGACCATCACCAACGGGCTTCTTTGAACGATAACAGATGATTCATTAAGATTTTATACATCAACACGATACCCAAAAGTCAATATTTTTTTTAGGAACTATCAGTTTTCTGTCATGTCATGAGGACATCCTGCTAGCAGTCAGAAGGAAATCTTAAATAGAAACATAAGAACAATTGAGTAAAATATGGCAGCCATTCAAAGATTTAAAATGGCAGATTCAAGAAAACTTTGAACGGCTGCCATTTTTGACTCTGTTGTCCGTTTGGGTTCAAATTTGCGGCATTGTATTCTGCTAGTATATACCTTTAATTCTATGTACATCATATGCTTCTGGAACGTTTAGGGTGCACTAATTGAAATAAAAGTACCATTTGGGAGTGAAATAAAACCTGGCCGACTACATGTTGACGGTTTGCTGTATTCTTGAGGACTGGAGAGCTAGGAAACTTTTGGATCGGCAGTTAAACGTGGAAGAAAAAGTGGTGTGATGGGTTGTAGCCAATCCGTGAGCTTTATTGAAATCATACAATATGACGTCATTGTCACCTGATTGCAGTCAGGCCACAATGCAAAACACATTGCCAACTCTTTTTTTACACAAATAATTATATGCTATCGCAACAATGATAAAATTATGGTACATTGTATAGCCTACACTACAGCTTCTATTTCCTTCTGACTCCTTGCGGGATGTCCCCATGATATGATAAAAAACCTATGATAGTTCCTTGATTTCCTTGGTGTCATGTTGATTTACCAAATCTTATTGATTTATTTGTTATCTTTTAGAACATATTAAAAATGTGCGAGACTTTATTTACACCCTGTATGAAAAGAACTAGACATTCCATTCTCATATCAAAGTTGTGGCCAGGTTTAGTATAGAAATCAACGACAGTAGAACTCCGATTATCCGAATCAATAGGGACCAGACCCCATTCGGATAATCAAAAATTCGGATAATCGGAGTTTTACCGGAATTCCGGAAATTTTAAAGAAAAATCCTCATTTTCGGTACTAAGTAAACTTTTAATTAATAATACTTTAAATCAGAACATTTTTACAGTTTACAATGCTCATAGTACAAGTGTTCTATACATGTTATTAAGTCAATAGTGTTTCATCAAAGTCCAAAATTGGCTAAATGTGTTTAATAACAATTCTTTGATATTTTGCAAAACTTATTACTGTAGCTTTACGTTTTTAAAATTGTTGAAATAAGCGATTCGGATAATTGGAGATTCGGTTAATTGGAGTTCGGATAATTGGAGTTCTACTGTATTTGAATTGGGTAACCAACTGTGTGTACTGATGTAAATTTTTTTGCAAATAAAAATAAAGAAAACTCAGCAGATTATTTAACTTAAAGTAGTAATACTATACCAATAATCCTGATGGAAACTGTTGGGGATTATTATTTTTAGTTGGTTAGTTTTACTGTAATGCAATTTAACTTTTATTAGGCTTCTTTGTTATCATGAAACTGATATTTAAGTTGTGACTATTAGTTTAAGTTTTCATAGAATATTGTTGGGTGTGCTTACCTAACTCTTAACTAGAATAGTACCAAGGATTTTTACATTAATTTGTTTACACCTTAAAAATTGTTTTTGTTTTATCATAATGTTATTGTAGTAAATGCAGTAATAGCTTTCTAAGAACCTAATAACCTAAATTTCAATAACTAAAAAAAATCATATTGATGGTTAACTTTTTTAATTGGAAACATTAAACAACCATGGCAAATTTGGAATGAACCTGGGATACCCAAACTGTGTAGTTATATACAAAGATTTGTACAACTTCCAGTCTAAAGTGATAATCTTGACGATGCCTGGTATGTTTCAGATGTAACCTGTGTAATGCACAGTATCCGACTCAGCAGGCGATGTTGCAACATAAACAAAACTACCACAAGGAAGCGCAAGGCTCGGAGATGGCCCTGCCTGTGGTGGATATGAAGAACCCTGCATCAATCAATAAACTTACATCTCTCGGCATCCGTCACTGTCTGGTGCTTTCACAGCTGACTAACTCGTCAGGTGGAGTCTTTGGACTGCCGATCGCAACAATTGACAATGCCAAAAACCCAGCAGTGTGCAATCTCGGGGCTCTGGGAGCGTCCAATGTACTGTCACTGGGACCCGCCAAAGCTCTTAGATAAAGTTTTAAAATGTTTGAATATTTTATTTCCAAAACGTTTTTTACTTTTTTACTTACAGATAGTTTATTGTTATTTTGTTTTCTCTAAAACCAATAATTTGAGGTCCCTCCCTCTTAAAGGGGAAGGTTGTGATAAATGAACAGGAATCTATGATATTTGTTACTTGAGAGATGTTTCTTATACACTGGAATTGTGTATATGACTACTATGTATTTAAATATAGACGTCTACCATGTAAATAGTAGTGTTGTTTGTATGTTGTCAGTGGATTTTTATTTTAGGTTTCATTATTACAATAATAAATTCATTATTATTACATTTTATGATCCAAACCTGAAAATAACTAGCCTTGAATGTTTTTATCCAAAATTGAAAACTGCTTTTGAACTGTTTTAAAGTACAGGCATACTTTTGGAGGCAAAATTTAATAAATGAAATATATCTTTGGCATTATGTTGGCACATGCTTTAATTTATTGATACATTCTTTGCAATTTCAGTTTTTATTTTTAAATTAAAATCAATCCAGTCATAATTTTCATTAAATCCATCACAGTAAAGACCACTTAACACCTATTACAATTGGAATTTAAACAGTATTTTTATAACATGACACAAAGAGAATAACTGGGTCCAAAAGGAAAATGTTACAATGATTGTACATCTTTAAATAACACTGTAATATATGCCTCGAGTTGAAATTGATCTTTAAGGCATCATAAAAAAACTTTACGCTGACAACAGATTGTTTCCCGAGTGAGTGGCAAATTAATTCTCATGTAAGGTCAAAAAAGACTGACTGTGAATATGTTAAATATCACACTTTGACTGTATTTTATGTATTTTTGAAGTGTTAGCTATTCCAACACACTTGTGAGATAGTTTGAATAGTAACATTAAAAGTTTCATTATACATTACAGAAGTTATAACTTTTAGTCATCTAAGCAGAGGTCACTGTGGATTTATCTCAGAGTATCTAATAAATTGTGTTTTATGTTTCATTGTGGTTCATTGAATCTGATTACATAACCTTTCAACCATTTGTAACTATTTAACACGTTCCCCCAGTTTGACTTGGTAAAAAAGGTTGTGCGTATTTGACACAAATTAGTAATTTACACCAGCAGTTCAGCACAGTCTGTCCGTGCTCATGTCAGCTATGCCGATTTTTATTTTTTTAAACTGGTGACAAAAAACAATGGGATGGAATGTGTAAATGAACTGAACTTCACACATTATGTAGTCGGTCAAACTCGTCAGTTTTTATGTTAAGTACTCCGATGTATGACTGTAGGTGTATAAGCATTCTGAGTTATTTATTTAAATTTGTGACTGCACCAATAATAAAATGGGAAATATTTACCATCGGCCTCGGATCAAAGAATTTTTATTCTATTTACTCTGTATTGCATTACTTAAACTCGAAACTATGAACCTCAAGTCTATGATACTGCAGTATACTAATATACAGAGTGGCTGAAAAGTCGACCTAATTTTAAATGTACATCAACTAAACATTCAGTAGCTCATACTGTCGGCTGATTGAACCTAATTTGATGCCTTTGATGGTAGTTCATATTGTAAACTAATTGCCTGCTTTATTATGGCTGGTATTTTAAGTATTGAGGAAATAAAATGACAAAAAATTGAAATGAAATGAAAAACGTTTATTTATCCCAAGAATCATAAACTAAAACAGAGAGTAGCTATACAACATTAACAGTACAAAGTTTCTAAAATAAAATTTGCCTTACTTATGGGATAGGCCTACATGGGCAGGTGCCTGTGCGTAGGCCTGGCTGTTATCAGTCTAAACAAATTGAGGGCACAAACTAAAATTGGGAAGATTTTGAAGCCTTGTTAATTTAACTTGATCATTTAGTGGATGAGAGAATGTCGGCGACGACAACCAAAGCCAGTGCAATCTAAGACAGGAGACATTGTGAGGGCGAGGGTGTCGAAGTGTCAAGAATTGTTTAGTCAGGGTCAAGTATGGTTAGGTCTGATCAAAGTTTCGGCCTCTTCATTGGTAATCGTGTGCAGTAAAACAAGCATCTGTTTTTTGAATTTCTGTATTGAGGGTAAACTAAAAATGTGCTGAATATTATATTTTTGAATTAGATTTCGATATAGAATCTGATCAACATAAAAACAGTTGGTAGTTAGAACTGACTTATGTAGCTGAGGGATAGATATTCCGACATTGTGTGAAAATCTTGTGAAGTGCTGATGTGTGACTGTTGTAAGGATCGTGTTTGAGTTTTTTAATGTGTTACTAAAGAAGAAACTGAATGGAAATATATGTCTGACTGGTAACACTCCCGTCTCACGGAATAGCGCATCAGTGGAGTACCTTTTATTAAATGAAATCAAGGATTGTACATAAGCTTTCTTTACGTCTTCCTTGTCTAAAATGACACTCAGTTGATTAAAAGCATATATGTATTTACGAATCCTTTTCTTTAAGAAATCTACATGCTCTGATTACCTCATTCGGTAGTCAAGATAAACACCTAAATATTTGTAGTAATCTACTTTTTCAATGTACAGTATTCACAATTTACAAGATATACTGTTATGATCACCACCACAACAATGAATTGTCTAGACTATAATCAGTGCTTGTACTGAGTGATATCGGAAGAAATTTAGTCTTGTTTACATTAAGTGAGAGCACATTTTGATCTTAGCATTTTTGTGGAAGTGAGAGGTCACAGAGAGCTTTAGACCTGACATCCTCCCATGAACGACCCTTTAATAAAACTAATGTGTCGTCAGCAAATAAAAATAGTTCACCATTCAGGTTCAGTTTTGAAATGTTATTTATATAGATTAGAAAAAGTATAGGCCCCAGAGTACTTCCCTGAATAACCCCATACTCAATTGCATTTGCATCACTATTCACCCCACAGATGGATTCCACTTGATGTCTGTCAGATAAATAGTTTTTGAACCAAGAGAGAGTAGTGTCTCTGACACCGATCTGTTCCAATTTTGTTAGCAACAAGTTTCTGCTAATTGAGTCGAATGTGTTTTTAAATCTAAGAAAATTAACATAGAACGATTGTTATTTGCCATTGAGTTATTTATAGATTTACATACTTCAAAAAGTGCATCAGGGATGTTGTTATGTTTTCTAAACCCAAATTGTGAATTAGATAATATATTGTTATTATGAAGGTACTTCACCAACTGCTCCTTGACAATACGCTCTAAAACCTTGGAAAACACACTTAAAAATGAGATTTGTCTAAAGTTGTTTCTGTCTTTTGGATCACCTGTTTTAAATAAAGGAATTACTTTTGCAGTTTTGGATTGAGCCGGGAATATACCAGTCAGTAGAGATAGATTAATTATGTGTAACATTGGTATGTAAATTATGAGTGCGTTTTGTTTGAGTAAATCAGCCGAAACTTCGTCCAGACCCGGAGCTGAGCCACCGCGCAGCGCAGCTCGAAGATGTGTCGTAGTAAGTCTTGTGCAGAAACAGTTTACGGTGTGAAAGTAGAGTCCAGTCTGTAGAGTCGACAACCACTGGGGTCCCACCCGCATCTATTTGATTCGATAGAGTTTCTCCAACAGAAGCAAAGAAGTTATTAAAATCATCTATTTACAGTAAATTAACTTATGGTCGGTAATTTCTTTTTCCTATAATCTAAAATACTTTACGCATCAATTACGCCACACATATCCAGTTGAGTAGATTTATTAGTGATAATATGATCAATTAGTGTGGCTGACTTAGAAGTGACTTTTGTGGGATCAGTTATGTGTTGAACAGTGTCATATATTTTCAGCAGACGACGGAAATGTTTTGCTTCATAACAGGAAGTTGATAGTAAATCAATGTTTGTATCACCTAAACATATGACGGAGTCAATTTCAGCTGCAATGTCTACAAACAATGCCCGAAACAAGGAACCAAGACAAGTATAGCTAATTTGCGGTTGTCTGTACACGATGGCTACGCTGAGTTTAGCACCTTTGTTTGAAGGACCACCGAGATAAATTCTAGCCTGGATCGACTCCTGTTAAATCCCTTCTTTGGAAAACCAAGCCTTGCTTAATGTGCAGGGCAACACCTCCACCTCCTTTTGCAGCTCTGTCAGCCCTGAGGAGTACGTATCCAGGTATCTCATCGTGATCAGAAAGTGAACCCGGCTTAAGCCAAGCTTCAGAAATACCAAACACATCAAAGTCAATTGCCAGTGCAGTCATCTAATCGAAACCTGTGTTTAGAGAGCGCATATTTAAATGAGCGATACACAGGTTTCTATTATTTCGTTTCTCGACAACTGTGGCCGAACTTGAAGAGCCTAGACTCCCCCAACCTCACAGTGAGAAGTTGGCTTCTCACTGTGAGGCAGGGGAGAATCCATGCTCAGGCCCGACGCCAGTGCCGGATTAACTGATTTCTGGGTCGCATGTGCTGCCGAGCCTCCAATCATGCGGAGCGACGCAGCGATCACCGCTTTAAGGAGACCAGCCGCGACACACCACCCCTGTTAAGGTGTCTCCCATCACGAGCGAGGTGTCTCCGCGCAACCCAACAGTTAGCCTCCACGTACATGACATTAAAATTGTTGCACATGAGGTCAAGTTGCGTGTTAAAATCATAAAGAGCTTTGTATGTGATATCAGACCGAATTATTACGCTGTTTACATAAACTTTAGAACATGGAAAATTTGTTTTTACAGTTAACAGCAAATCAGCCATGTCGTGGAGAGCCTCGCGCTTGCCGTGACCTCCGTTGTAGCCAGGACCTCCCCTGTAACCCACCCTCAGGTTGTTCGTGCCGACATGAATATGTATTATAGGCTATCTAGATCACTATTTACATATTTCAACATTACATTTTTAAGTGATGGATCCGAGCACCTGAGTGACATTCCACAATGGCCCCTTTCTTAACAAAATCAGAACAAGCATGTCGTATCATAGAGTCACCTACAAGATGAAGAGGAGGGGGCCCAATATAGATCCTTGGGGAATTCCTCTTGATGTTGTTCTAAGAGATGGTTTGGTGGTGTAAATGGTGTTTTGGTGTTGACTTT